ACAAAGTTGGGAAATAAGAAAAAAATTGGTTTGTCTTCAAAATGGATTATGAACACATTTACTTTTGGGTAATCCAAATGAAAACTCTCTAAACTAGTTGGAGGTTATTTTCGGATGAAATTTGCTCAAGACCTCACACTTGAAGTCATTATACCAATTTGGAACCGTTTCACCGATTTACTGTGTGCCATTTACTAATTTTACCCATTGCCAATGTGAAAACAGTGCATAAAACTAAAGTGATTCCATGAGATTGAATAGCAAAATGATGATTGCACTATCCGTTTTTTCTACATGCAAACATAATTAACTGGCACTGCAGAAAATTTCCACTTAAATGTGACACGAAGAATTTTCAATTAGTAAAAGCATCGAGCAGTGCTCGCGCGATGCAAAAATGTTCATTTTGGTATAGTGCCTTGCACTACCACCACCCAAACGATGTCTTTGTATGGCGTTGTGCGAGCCGCGCGCATTTGCACCAATTTTTCTATGAAACAAGAAACTAGATAAAATATGGATAAATTCTGACAGGAACTTTATCTCTTCGGCGGCGCAAGAATAGGATTTCAAAAATCTGCTCTCATTTCATGTGTTGTTACTCTTTAACTTTTTCCGCTACCAGTACGATCGTCGTCGTTGTCGTTGCCTGGTAGCTTTATTAAGATCTTATGCATTTCAAACTTTTAGTTGCTTCAATTTTTGTACATTTTCCCGTATCATCTTCCGGAATTCAAATTCTGCGAACGGAACCGCATATTTTTTGTTACATACAAAGTTATATACATACATAAATAGCCATGGCCATTAGATGAAATAAACTTTTCCCGTGAAATGTACGTATATTTCGTGCATTATTTATTATTTTTGCTGCTTTTATAGTTGCCGGTTCGTTTTCTTTGCGCTTGCGACTTTAATGAACGCTCGATGCTGCCCTTTGATTCATGAATTTTCATGGAACAGTTTAAAGAAGTTGTTCGGACACACAAGAGGAAAGAGGGAAGGCGAGACGAACTTTGTTACAGAAGCATCTAGTGGACGACATTCAAATTGTTTGAAGGCTTTTTTCGAAACGGGCGAAAGAGAAAAACTTGTCGAAAAGTCAGTTTGATCTCTTGTTGCGAGGGCGCCTGATTCTGATGGGACATTGCCATTCAATCCGGTGTACAAGTGAAAATCCATCAACATTTTTTTTATGCACGCGAAAGCTGAGAGATGATCTAGAAATCATAAATAGAAAAGAAACGAGGCGGAAGGTTAAACTCGAAGAATGTGGCCCAAAGATTATTCATTATTTATGGTTCTCCTGAGTGAAAAGTTTCAAACTGTTTCTTGAAAGCATTAGATCAAATAGAACCATTTAGCAGTGCAATCGAACTTTTACTTTGGCTGTCCCGTTCTAGAGCGCCTCTTCGAGCTGTTCATTGAGTTGCTGCAAAAAGAGTTTGCCTTACAACGTTCTTTGAAAGTGAAGAAAAAAAACAAGAACGACCCCAGTCTAGAAAGACAAATATTCCCGAGTTATATTAACGACATCCATTCGAATCGAATGGTGGCGGGGCAAAGAGTGGAAAAATGTAACAACAAATACGAACAAGTTGATTACACACAGTTCCTGACCGCCCATTTCTCATTGAATAATTACATTAACAAGAATTCTCATCGTTCGGTCTCGTTCATTTGCCGCTCGATATTCATGTAATTTATGCCGTGTTGAAGTTTTTTCAACGGCCAGTAATTCGAAAATGAACGAAAAAAAAAAATGTTGCTTCGCGCGCTGATAATTAAGCAGTAATTTATAAAGTGAAGCGGAGAAAAAATATTTTAATTTTTGTAGTGTTCTTTGTGATTATTTGTGCAAAGAGAGCATGAGCATGAACAAGAACAAGAAATAAGTTCAAGCCGTTTTTTCTGCGTCGAATTCAAACGAAACTAATATGTGCTAACGACTTGTTGGAAAATAAATGTTCTCGGAATTAAAAACACACAAAGAAGAGAGCAGAAGGCAAATGAGCGAAATATATTTAACGATGAACGGAATAATATCAATAATTAAATATCACGATAAAAACTTCGGCGCAGAAACAGTTCAAAAGAAGGGAGGTGGTTTTTCCTCTTGCAAATGAGCGTGCAAAGCGCGAGAATGGTTCCGAGAGCTCTCAAAGCACAAGCACAAACAAAGACATATTGACCAAATATTCGAGAATGGGGAAGGAAACGAAAAATAAAGACATGCTAAAAGGATCAGCAGTTCCCCATTCATGGCTGGTGTGCAAAAGTTTTCTATTTTGATTGCAGAATTTTATGTAAATGAGCAACATGAGTATTTTCATATTGTATTTACTTGCATAGCATATCCGCTCTGTGCACAACATACACACAGCCCGACGCCGAATCGTTTGCATGATGCAATTTTGCACTCGCCTCGCTTTTATTTGCTATATTAAAATAGCAAACAATAGAAGATAAAGCAGCTGTCATTGTTTTTTTCCTTCATCCTCATGCTCTCACTCGGCATTTTCTCTCGCTCGCTCGCTCTCTCTTTTCTATTTTAAGTATATTTTGCATAAATATGGCTGCAGGCGTAGATTCACACAGAGCTTTCGAGCATTCGATGTACATTCGATGGAGTTTCGCTCTCATTCACTCGCTGCACAAGCGATGCTCATCGTTCGTCTGCTCTGTCACAACACCGCTCCCACAATTAGATTTATTGCTGTTGTATGTGTGTGTGTTTGTGCGCGAAACAAGTCAACCTGCAAAATTCATTTGCCGCATAAGCAGCGCGCTGTATGTCATCGCATCATAAGTGAGACACAGTCGGTGGTCTTTAATGGAAAAATTCAATTGGATTTGTTGTTGCTGTCGACAACGACAACGACGACAACAGCGAAGTCGACACAGTGGAAAAACGGCCAGAGAAAAAGTTTAACAGTGGCCCCGTGCAACAATAGACTTTTTATTGAAATAAATGAAATTAATTTTTTGTTGTTGCTTGGTGCCAACGTTAAAACTAAAACACAACACTGGAGTTGCAATACAGCGATACAAATAAAAAAAATATGAAAAAGTTGACCGGATTGAAATTAGCAACTTTGAGGCACCTTCACTGGATTTATGCAAAATGAAAGCTTATAAAATTATGACCACTATTTTGCTATTGCAACCGATTACAATGATGCGACGAACGAACACCACATTAGATTTCTCTTCAAACAAAGCACTCAATTTGATAAAAGCGTAAAAAAATAAGCAGCATTTCTGCACCGATTCATAATAAGTTGGTTATGTTCATCGAATTCCATGAAATGTGGTTCTTCCATGGAATCGCCAACCGCAGAATTTCCGCGAAAATAGTGTGAATATGAACAAAAGCTGAATTGGCAAAACTTTTATCGCTCCAAATTCAACGAATGGCCATTAAATGCATTTGGAATGGGTGGTTTTGACTTTTTCATGGAATTTCCACTGATTAATTTTGATGAATAATTGAATTTGACCAGCTAACGCAAGTTATAATTTAAAATTTTCGGAAACTTGATCGAGTAAATTGGAAACACTGATTTTTGAATTTATTTCAGGGTTTTTATGCAATGTATGGAAACCAATACGGTAACAATTTTAGTGGTTGAACATTGACGAATTTCGATTGTGTGTTAAACTCCAATATGTTATAATGAATGTTGGCTATGATTTTTGATGTTCATGATTTTTTGCAATCACCAACCTCATGAAAAGTCCACCATTGCGTGGATTGACTTCAGGCCTAAACTGCAGCCCACATAGTTTGCCAAAATGTGGTTGTCATAGAAGCTATCTTTGAGTACACACAGTGTTCTTCGTCTCACGTATTATAATATTCTAATGCTCTTAAAACTCGTTCGGTTGTTTGGCGTTCGCTGTTGCTGCGCTGCTGCCATTTATACCGCTTTACACGCGACGTAAATCTGAATACATAATTAAAAATACTTTATGGAAAATAGTCGTTTGCATTAAATCATCATAGTTTGCGAGAGTGTGCTTGTACCCGCCGCCACGGTCTGTGGTACACGCTCGATGCGGTGAAGTTTATTTTCGCTCGGATTTCTACTCTTTTCTTTCATTGCTGTAGCTTTGGTGCTTCGACACTTAGTGGATACCGCCGCGTATTTTATCTTCGTTCTTCGCTCTCTTCGTCTTTGCGTTGGTTTTGTTTACTTTCATCTCATCAGCTCATCTTGCGGAATGATTCTCTTATTGTATGCGATAAATACGAAGGCGAACCGAGTTGCAGGCGTCGAAATACTTCAAGAAGCATATGTTTTTCTTATATGCGGCATAAATTTTCACGAAAAAGCAAAACCGCTAATGTCTTCAATTTGCTTTTAGCGATATCGCAATGCCGGGGCGACCACCAAAAATTCTAGCACTCTCTCTCTCTCTCATTCACTCTTTTACCCTCGATCTCTTGAAAAGTGTTTCGGCGCAATGTTCATTCTCCATTGCATGCATTTTAACTACACGGCAAAATATTTTAAAATGTTTTACTTTTAACAGCAATTTTTGGTAGAGTAAAATGTATGGAATGACGTTTGCTTGGATTTTGCGATTGTTGATGTTCAAGTTGTGTTTCGGCTCTGTCTATCTCTTTCGCTCGCTTGTTGGCACTCTATCTGGGCTCGTCACTACTCTTTCGCTAGTGTGTGTCTGTGTGTGTTGCGTGAAAGTTATGAAAGCCATGAAAAATCTCTTGCAAACAGATTAAATGTGTTTTGGGCGTAAGCAAAGGAGAAACTTTTTTTTCTTCTTCTATACTTCCTTGGCTCACGGACTCATAGTCGAAAATTTATGGTTAAAGTTTTTCTCTCGACGTTTTCCGTGCAACGGATCTCTTGAAAATTTATTTGATTTGTTTTTGGTGCATAAATAGTAATTATTTAATTGAAGAAAAAAAAAATTTAGCAACGACGAGGCTGAAATTCGATTTTAAACTTCAACGTGAATTTTAAGAGATTATCAAATAAGATGTACTCAGCATTTTCAAGTGTTTTATTTTTTCTCGACGAAAAATAAAATGCCAAATTTTATTACTGCAGTTGATTGTCCACTATTTATACTAAATATCTTATAACAAGAGATGGATCTATTGTTGTTTCAAAAAATCAGTCGAATTTTCATCTAATCTTTCCTTGATAAACGTCTTATCATCGATTATAGTGTACTTGGTGTTTCGATATCCGGACGGATCTTCAATGGCTTCATTATGCGCATCCCAATGAATGCTGCCAATCACATCCGGAATGTTTTCAATGTTGGCCGTATCCGCGAGTTGTTTATAGTATGCTTTTTGTTCTGGTCCCAAATAGTGTGAATAATGCACACGATATCCTTTGTTCCAATGATTTTCCGTCTGGGTCCACATGTCATTCAACATATCATACTTTGACGGCATTTTCTTCTCACCAGAAATGAACTTCATCGCGAATCGTGCCTATTTTCGTTTCACAATAATACAAATATATGCATTAATTTGTATGACACCTTACGTACATATATATGCATCCAATTAATGCGATGCAATTTACAGTCATTGTACGTTGACGGTGCCGGGTTCATAAAAGCGGATTTAGATGTAAATTGTTCACAGTACGAACGTGATTTGCTTTATGTAAATGAGAATGCAATGATTGCTTTAATAAAGCAATGCCTCATACTACGTCTAAATCTCCTTTTATAAAATCAAGCAAAAAGATCAACAACAACGCACGATGACTAAACTATTTACAATAAAAGGTTACATTGTAAATATAGAATGTTGAATACATTCTCAGAGACTCAATCTATCTACCTGAAGGTCAAACATCATGAAATTACTGGCCGATGTAGGTACACCAATAAAAGCCATTGTTGGATGATCAATGTTGAAAACTTGTTTGTACAGCGGCTGAATGAAATTATCGGTGACATGAATGCCTGAATCAACGCTCAAAAATGGATAAGAATATTGGTATCCTGTACAGAACAAATGAAAAAATAAAATTCGCCAATGGTTTATTCGAATTCAATAACCCGAGTGGATTAAGTTCGATATGTTGAGACGTACCCGTGGCAAAGAAGATCACCGTATAGTTTTCACGAGTGCCATCGATAAATTCGGCTCCGTTCGGTGTGAAACGTCTAACATTGTCTTTTAGTGTTACAACTTTTGGCAATAAACTACGACGTCTTGCACGTTCTTCTTTCGTTTCATTCGCCATTTTTTTGGTACTCAACGTTAATCGGCTAGCAACACCAGACAGATGAGTAACTAAATCGGTGCCACTGGAACCGCCGCCAATAACCAGAATCTCTTCGCCTAATTAATGTCACACAATTTGTTTCATTCGCCATTGATTGAAAAAAAAACAGCGTTGAATAAAACTCATACAGAATTCTTCGAAAAAAGTGTAAACTTTGACAAGAAATTACCACGGAATGTGTCACTGGTGCGGAAATCATGGCTATGCATCAATTTTCCTCGGAATTTTTTCGCACCTTCAACCACTGGCGTACGTGGCGATGTGAAATGTCCATTGCAAACGAAAACGGCATCATAAATTTTCGATTCATATTTATTATTTGGCAAATCTTTGACGAGCACTTCCCATTTATCATTTTCGAGTGGAACAACACGAATGACCTGACGACTGAACTTGATGTACTTCCTCAGATTGAAACGATCCGCATAGGATTGCAGGAATTTTAGCACCACATTTGACGTTGGATAGTTGTTTGTATCTTTTGGATAATGATGATCTTTGAATTCCATACAATAAATGGGTGAGTTGGTTCTGTTTGGAAATGTGGTTTTCGTATTAACTTTTTATTTAATTCATTTAAAATCTGCATTCGATCACAAAACCGTTTGTTAAACGATTCTGTTTTAAAGAAACACTTGCCTCAAACCCTTATACATCGCGGTATGGATTTTATTTCCATATTTATCTTTGCCAACTTTATCTGTATACACCCAGATGCCGCCGACTTCTTCACCTTGCTCGAAAACGGTTACTTTAAAACCTTGTTCAAGTGCATATTTTGCACTCACAAGCCCCGATGGTCCAGCTCCAATTACAGCCACATTCAGTGTGCCCGCCTTTTCATTGTTCAACGGAGTTGCGCCACTGCTGATGCTCAACAAACCCAAAATAATACACTGAATTATTAAAACTTTCACCATTTTTCGTGGTTTCGTTCACACACTAAACACGACAAAATCTTCGTATTTTCTGTTTTCAGCTTTAAAAATTCACTTGCACTCTTTTCGACTTGTTTACATCGATTGAAAGCATCGAATCAACTTAATTGCTTCGCTACTTCTCGAAAACGAATTCGTTGGAACATGGAATGAAGTCTCACACACAAAACATTTAATTCCGTGATGATGTCATGAAAAAAAAAACACACACACACACTCACATAGACTTTATTAGGTATTCCCATAACTAATCACATGTTCAATGTTGAAAAAGCAACGGCGTCGCTGACGATTGAGATTTGTTTCTACCGAATGAAACACAACCGAATGCTGTGCTATGCTATGTGCTGTTAAATGCTGTTAACTGCTCAGCCGATTTCATTGGAAAGACCCGTAATGTGATATTCCATGAATTTAACATAGCCCATTGGTGAAAAATCACCACGTGTAGTATGCGGTGATCGAACGCCGGATAATATATTTTTATAAATAACATATATATATAGTTTAAGCCGTCAAATAAATTTATGCATACACAAGACGCAAAATGCGGCAGCAAAACCTATATGCCAGACTTGTTTCATTTTTGTCATTTTGTTTTGTACCATTTCTTAATGTTGTTTTCTTTTTTATTTCGCTTTGAAATGTAAAATTAAAACAGCATTTCAAAGCGGACTGAGAAGAGAGAGAAAAAACAACACAAAACTTGTTGTTCATCCCTTCCTACATGCTTTGATTTCGCTTCGTTTCGTTTCCCACTTGCTTCGACAGTTCTCATAGTACGCACTAGTGTTGTGCGATATACCAATGCTACGAATGATACATTGTACTTCTTGGCTAATACACATCAGACAAAATCTTTTTTTTTTCGAACCATCGCTCAAGCAATGCTTGAGTCATGCATAGCTTCGGTGTACGTGACAGTAACAGTAGCATATGATGATTACTACCAAAAACATTAACTTATCAAGTTTTATGTTGCTTGGCGCTCAACAGCTATTACATTTTTTTTCTGCTGTGTCATTTAGTCAACTGTACGTCGGTTTATTGGGCTGCATTTTGATGGTCAGTTTCATTGTAATTTGCAGTTTTGCAATAAAACCTCGACCAAAACTATTACATGTGAATTTAAAAAATTTACCGAAGACATTGATTTGTTCATTCGTATTTATACATACGTTCGGGTTTGAATCAAAACTTTTGATTGTACGTCTTCACTGTCATAATAACAGTGTCATTCTAATCAAATTGTATACCTCTTGTTTAATGCATCTAGTTTTGTACATCTGGTTTTTACCAATAAACCATTTTCGAGGCTATAACCCGACGAAACTTGACGTTAAAAAAAATTCATATATAAATTCGAATAAAGATGTAACTGTGTGAATGTATAAAAGAGCTCTAAAGTCATAAAAACTTCTATAGAAGCCTCGAAATCTATTTACACACTGCCATTTATAACGTTGTTTTGAATTGTATTTTTTTTGTTTGAAATAGTATATACGTAATACTTGAAGAAATTCAATTGTAAATGTAAATGCTTCACCATTGAAAGGTGTCTTTAACCTGAATAAAATTGCGATAACTGTAATTGAATGGGAAAAATGGATTTTTCTAGCGTTTTCGAAGCAAAATTTGTTTCTCCTTGACTAAACTGACTTACAATATGTACGGTGAACGGTTTTGTTTGTATCATTTTTGAAAGATCAAGGTTTTGTTTTCGAGAATTGTGAATCCAGTTTAAGTCGGATTTTTTTCGACCGGCTTAAGTCAGATTTCTTTTGAATTTTTCATGTAAAGTTGGAATATTTCATATTTGTCCAGTGCATTATGAGTGATTATTTAATTGAAAAAATTGGCGACAAATGCAACTGCAAGTGCATTATCTCCTCGAAAAAGTTTTGCGACGAAATTCAAATGCGTCCACCGAGGTTTTGTTATTAATCTTCAAAAAAAATATAACGATTTCTGCGGAAATCTCGTTTTCATCGTGTGCACTGCACTTCCTGCTTTGAATAAATCCATTGTCGAAATGGAATCATTTTTATTGGCGTTATTATATATATAACGGTGGAAAAAGGCTGGTGCTATAGCTGCTGGCTCGGTAATATATCGATTTAGCCGTTGGCAAGAAACGCATTAAATCTTCTTGATAATAAATCGTTAGACATTTTCTCATTTTCAACGCGTATTGCTTGCTGATTTTGCCATTGATGTATGCTTGCGATGTGCACACACTGCAGTGCCGAGCGCAATCACATACACACACACACACACACACACACACAAATTCGCCAAAGCGAAACAGAATTGAGGAAACGAAGTCGTCTGTGAAGAAAGAAAAAAAAGAAGTAACGAACTCATTTAATAAATATCCTTCGTAGCGATTCAATGTTCGTCGTCATCAACGTTGTCGTTGCTTCGATTTTTCTTTCTTCTTTCTCTCCCTTCCTCGCTCGCTAGCTCGTTGGCTTTCATCGTATGACATTTTATGCATGGTAAAGCCATTTGTGTGTGTGTGTGTGCCAATGTGCATTCGGTGCACGTGAGAGCGGTAAGGTAACACGGCTGAATGCGAATTCATAAACGAAAATCGACGACCCATATTCACTTTGTTGGGAACCTATTCCACGTACAGAATAAACACGTAACATATGCGATTTCGTCTTTTCGTTTTAAGAAAGAAAGCGAGTAAAGAAAGTGAGGGAAAAAAACCTGGCTGGAAAAAACGAAAAACGACCGTTTCGTTGCTGTTTTTTTGTTGTTGCTCTAAACGCCGTATGCGCCGTCATCAAATGTAGAAAAGGAAACTATTTCAACTGCTTTTTGAATTGTGCACCCGGTCGATGTTGTATGTGTGAGTGTTTGTTCAGTATTATCGTTTACAAACACGTGCGCCCGATTCATTTGTGAGTGATTTTCATTTTCATCTGTTCTCTCTGCACAAATACACACAGAGACACACCGTATTCAATATTCTATCGACAGACGATGCGCGTTCCGTCAACGACGACGCTTTTTAATGATGTAGTTAGAAAAAAAAGAGAGAAAAGCGCGAGCGTTTCGTTTCTTCTCCATTTTTTTTCGGCTTCAACCCAAACACACACTAAAAAATGAGTAAAAAATATTTGTATTATTTATGGATTTCATTTACGAATGAAAGAAAATATTGCGACATATTCCACTCGTTTTTTATTCTCTCTCTCTCTCTCTCTCTCTTTATGTCTCTCTCTCTCTGTTTATAACCGGATCAACGGAATAAAAAAAAAGAATATTTTAAATTGCGAGATGCGATACAAAAATGTCATATACTTTTTGAATGAGGGTGCGATGGATTGAATGAGCATTCCAAAAAGAGACAAGTTGCAGCATTCGCACACTAATGGCTTTATTACATATAATTTTATTTTGCTCGTGATTCGTTTTTGGGTGAGTACCGTGTTCTCGTCGCTTATTTTTGTCTCATTCAAAACTTCATTCGTCGGTGTTTTGTGCAATGGTTTCCAAACGATATCCGCTGTGTGTGTGTGTGAATGGGGCTGGCGTTTTTTTGTATTGACTGCGTCATGGATTGCGCTATATCAGTACGCTATTCAGCCAAATCCCATGGCTCAAACACCCAGAACCATCTCTGCGAATAGAGAGAGAGTGGCCCTTTTCCCTCATCGGAAAAGGCGGCGAAATATCATGAAACAAGTAGAAAACATGTGAAAATTGTATCTTCACAACAACAAGAACAACGAAAACAGCAGCACCAGCAACAACAATCAGCTCAAACGGCATGACATATTTCCAACTTTGCTTGAATCGACCGAATGGCATTCAATACGTATATCGCATGCCGAATATATTTCGAATATGTTATGGTTATCCCACATTTTTCGGGTTGACTACTGCGTTATTATTACAACGATTGTGATGTTGATAAATAAAAATGGCTTTTGCGATTTGCGACAGAAAGGCTTCTATCCAACTGGTTTTTTTTCGCTCGCTCTCATTTCAACGAAACAACCATTTCCCCAAACGAACCCTATAACATTCGGTTTCCTCTCTTTTTGTCGCTTCATTGTGTATTTTGTTGCATTATAATTTTTTCTCTCTCCCCATTCCTCACTCTCTCTCTCTCTCTCTCTTTGCCTCTCTCACCGTGCCGCTCTCACTCTCTCCAGCTGGAGTTGCTACTCCGTGTTTATGTGACAATTCGCTTTTGTTATACAATAAATTGGCATATTGTGGCTACAATATTGTGGCAACATGATCCAAATGAATGGTTGATACACTTTATGCTCGAACATCGAAAAGTCAAATAAACCAAAACAACAATACAAACACAAACACACACACACAAATACATCGAATGTATGTTTAAATATGGATTTGTATTTTGCATTACATTCGATCGAATCGGATTAGCAATTGGTAGCGAAGTCGATCTTTGTTTGAGCCCCGCCGACATCGACACACACACACACACACACAAATACAATTTAACCACTACTTTTATTCGCATGTCAGCAAAAATAATCATAAGCTTTATAGTTTTTCGGGCCACACAAAACAATTGTTTTATATTTGGCCATTCACCATTTGGAATTGCATTTATTTTTATGTGTATTCGATATGGATGAATGTGTCTGTGTGTGGACTTCTTTGTGGTAACACATTGGTCAATGTGTCTTTTCAATTAATTGTCATGTAGCTTTCATCGAATTGATTCGATTCAGCGGTATTGCAGAATGGCCGCTGGAAGGAGGGTCGATTGATGATTTTGTTATTTTTTATCATTTTTATTTGTTTCATCGATAACAAATTTCAAACTGATAAAATATATTTCCCATTCATTATGGAATTGTTCAGCGTATCCATATATTAATTGATCCCACTTTTTTCATTTGAACATCACGATTGATTTCCATTTATCTGACAAACTGGACAAAAACCTGACCGTGTTTTTTCCACCACCGAAAAGTGCCAAATGTGAAACAATGAAAATAAATTGATATCGAACCAATTCCTTTGAGTTTTTTTTCCCGATTTCGATGGAACACACAGCAATCGTCATTACAGGGAAACGAATTGATTGCAAATAAAAAAACACACAACGCCAGAGAACGCTCTCCACAAATATTTGCACAAAATATTACATTAATTAAAGTTGTTTGTTAACTATGCTGCACGTTGACGAGCCCCTTTACATTACATCACATACCCGAACCATTGACATATCGCATCACGCGCAATATGTGTTATTTAATTCGTTTTTTCCCAACCACTGTAAATACAATGCGATTGAATGGGGCAA